ACCAGTGTTTTAGAGAACAAATAATGACTTTGTCCAAGAAAAAACACATTATAGCTGAGCTAAATGAAGAGTGCTATGTTTAATGAAGAAGCTATGTTTAATGTCAAAATCAAAATCTTGGCTGATTTCAATGTGCTGTTGGATGTTGTCCGCCATTGCTTCTGTGGTAAACGTCACGCTGTAATCCAACTGCAGTTGAGTTGGACGGCAATTGAAGTTCAAGATAAGCGTTCGATGACGTATACTATCCAACTCACAAATGGACCAATCAGAGGTCAGCGCTGATTTCCAGCGGACGGCGTCCTGTCCTAAGAAACCAGGCCTTTAGGTTCAAAATGACGTTTTAGCTGACGTCACACTAGCCAAATTGCATTGTTCCATTAAAATTTCACGCCAAGGTGGATTTTAACTGAGCATACAAAACTTTGCGGTAAAAAAACTTATAATTACCTCAGATTTAAGATTATTTTCACCTTTAGACTAGCTTTATTAGATGATTTTTTAACACTTGAAAACCCTAAGTCAATCTCGATTTAAGGTTTTTATGCAGAAGGTTGTTTTCCAAGGTTTTGGATTAGGATAATGTGGGTAGAATAGAGCAGATTGTCGCATTTTAAGGTTGGAAGGTTTACATGTAAACCGCATACCTTTTAAGGTTTAAATTAAAAAGTTTTTACTGGGTGAAAATAAACCTTATTTTGCTATCTGGGGATAGTATTAATATATGTCTAATCAATATTAAAGTTAATAAAGATCAAGAATATTTAAATAAAAATCGGATTGCAACATAAAGAAAACAAAACCAAACGAATTCGTTTCTGCTGCTGCGTATTATTTATATATTAGAGAACATTATTTATGTAGGGTGACACACAGATGGACGAATGTCGAAGCTGCAGAAATGTAATGATACTACACATTACTAATGAACTGAAACAATTCTATGTGCGAACTAGTTGCACAACAGAAAAAAAAACCTAAAAAGAATGTATATGTTGCCAGCAAAGTTTGAAATCCCGCATTCTATAGAATGCCTAGGCATTGTATATAATGCCTAAAACTAGCCGGCAATGTATGAAACGATTTATATTTCACACATTTCCTAGGCGTTCCATAGAATGCCAAGCGAGAAACTAGCTAAGTATAACATACATCTCCAATTCGTTTCGAATATCACGTGGCAAGGCACGTGACTTTTAATGCTCGCCTCAAGCTCAGAATTTGTCAGTTGCACTTTGTGGTTTCTACGAGAATACTTAATAAGAAAGGATTAAATTATGTTTCATACAACTTTCATTCTTCTTTACGCATTTTGAATAAATTTTTTTCAATGGCATTCTCGTCATTTTTTTCCAAATAACATTTTATTTTTTAAAAATGCATATCATTTACATAATAACCTCATCAGTTCGTTTTTTTTCTCCATACTTTGCCTAAATAGAATTTGTCATTTTATAGAATGCCTAGGTATTATAAACAATGCCTATGGAAAGTATGTATTTCATAGCTTGCCTAAAAACATCCGGCATCATATACAATATTATTGAATATCGGCGTTTCATACTTTGCCGGTAACATATGCATAAAATAGCAGTAATATATTTCTCTATAAGAGCACACAGAAGTTTGTAGATGTCTTATTACCGATATGGTTTGAATTCTGAAAATAACTTATTTATTATGTTTTATTTTCAATTGCTCTAAATACAGAGGCAGCTAAAAAAAATATGTTATTTTCAAGTAACGAAGCACGTCAAACTATTGTTTTTTATGGATTTCGCCAAAAAGTTTTTCTTATGCTAGTAATTTACCTGATTTCCAAAAACTCCCATGGCACACGCCAAACCGACTTCAGTGGCACCGAACCACGTGCCAGCAATGATCGGGGGAAGACTGAGGAGGAGGACTTGTCCAACTGCAAAAAATGCCGCAGAAACCAAAACAAAAGTGAAATGATTGGGGGCGAATGAAACACACTGAAATACAGAACCTATGAAGTACAAAAACATAGTGATCAGAAAAACGCCACTATAACTTCAATTAAGATTTTAAGAAAAAGAAAATGTTGTATATGGTTAGAGCATCTTGAATAGAATAATGAAGTTTGGTTAAGTTAATTTTCTTTGCTGAATATTGTAACACCAAAAGTAAAAGTAGTAAGGGAAATTAAATTGATGCAGACGCGAAATCTGCCTCAATATGCTATAAAAAAAGCATCATTATCATCAGAGCTTAGAAACAGACAAACAAAATATGAAATTGGTACTGATGATCACGTTTGCGTTTCGGAACTCTGTTGAGAATACCTGGCAATTATGAGCCGGACAGTGACCCTGATATTTTTGCCGAGTTGCTATCCCATTTAATCCATTTATAAATGAAAACAGCCACGTGTATTCCTTACTCTGATGGGTTTTTTTTATGTTAAGGGCCATTACCCAGCATTCCCCAATTTTTTTTTTTTTTTTTTTTAAATTAAAGGTGATTTCTGGCAATTCCCTAAACTTTTCTTAATTTCTCTTATGTATGAAACTCATCGATAGTAACCTTCCAGAAAAAAGAAAACCATTTTATCAATATACTTTGAAAATATATCCATATCCACCTCTAATGTTAGTAAACTATGCATTCAGTTCATAAATTAGAATAATTTAATTTGAATAAATAAATTCATTATTAATTGTTATGAAAAATTATTAATCGTCGTAAATAAATTTACACCATAATCGTTGTGCATAAATTTATTAATTGTTATAAAAAAAACTTAATCATTTGTAGTACTTGTGATTTTGATAAAAAAATATTACAATTAAAAAGCAGAATATGGTTTAGTAGAAGAAAAATATGTATTTTTAAATTGTACTGAAGCGTAATAGATCGCTCAAAAGAGTTGAGAGCCAAAAAATAATTCCAGCTGTGGTTCGAGGTCTGATTTTTGTGAGATATGATGTTTTATGTATTAAAAAGATTTTTTGTTCAACTGAGAGATATTGTCTTTTCTAGTTGTTGATTCGTATATTTAGTTTTGAAGTTGAATTATGAAAGGATTTCTGTTAGAAGTTCTGTTATTTCTGTTAGAAAGATTTGTTAGATTCTGTGTTCTATTCTGTATTCTGACACTTTCAGCTGCCTAAAAGAAATGAACCAGAATCGGTAAATAACGTTTCATTTATTTAAGTTCTTAATTGTGAAAGGAATACGCCATTCTAAGATAACAAATACAAAATTGAATTACCATTTTTTTTACCATTCCAGCAACCGGCTGGTCTATGAGTCAGCTACAGGTTGGTTCAGCTCAACTCTTATATACCAACCAATAAAATTGGAGTTATAAAGTGACGATATTTGATTTTCAATACTAAGGTTCAATTACTTTTTTAAGTATTTTATTACCGGGTTATTGTATTTAACCGGAAAAAAAGTCTTTTTCATTTATGAATCATGAGCTTTTTAAAGGTAAACGAAACGTTTAAGGAGCTATCTACCACAACATTAGTAGGTACGATTTGCTGATCTCATTCCTAGAAAGCATATAACCTCACGGCAACCTTGCGTCAGAATTGTCTTTTTATTGACACGGAAATGTTTGTACTAAAAACCTTTTTTCTATAAAGCAAAAATATTACAGTTTCAAACCTTTCATTCCAAAAGGATTGAAAACTATTTTTTAAAGCTTTTTTTTAAAAAGTATTGTCATTTAGGGGAAATGGTAAATGACGTTTTAGCTAACGTTACACTAGCGATAGAATCAAATTGCATTGCCCATTAAAATTTCATGACAAGGTGGATTTTAGCTGAGCATACAAGACGTTGCGAAAGGAAACCTTATAATTAACTAGATTTAAGATTATTTTCACCTTAAGACGAGCTTTATTAAATAATTTTTTCACTCTTGAAAACCTTAAGTCAACCTCGATTTAAGGTTTTTATAAAGAAGGCTGTTTCGCAAGGTTTTGGATCAGGGTAATGTGTGTAGAATAGAGCAGATTGTCATAGATCTCGTTTTAAGGTTAGAACATTTACACGTAAACCGTATTACAAACCTTTTCAGGTTTACATTAAAAGGTTTTTATTGAGTGAAAATAAACCTTATTTCGCTATCCGGGAATTATACGGAATTGTAGTTCAGCAAACCATTTTCAAATTTACCAATCACAGCTGCGTTAAAACTTTATACTTTAAATGCTTAAAAAGAAACCAATGCTGCGATATTTTTTTTCAGAGAAAACATTTTCGAAAAATGTGATAAAACATCTTTAGAAAAAAAAGATAGTTCTTACCAATGAAATTCATCGAAGCTCCAAGAACCAGCGTGACTTTCAGTCCTTTCTTGTCGATTAAATACATAACTGGAAACACTAATGGCAAAAACACAGCCATGTACAGAACTGGTGTTAAGTTGACAGTATCTATGCTTACATGGTAATAACACGCAATCACATCAACCACAACTGTGTATTGGAATTGAGGAATAGCGTTCATCATGGAGCAAATAGCAAATATCAGCATCATCACATACCTTCGTTTATAAAGCTTCACAAACTCTGCCCAGAGTGATGGTCTGGGCGCGTCTTTCGAACTTATTTTAAAGACGCTGCCGCACCTCGACGGTCTTCCAATCAAAGTTGTTTGCTTGTTTTTGAGAGCGTTGTCGCGCCACGCGTTACCGCAACGCGCCACGACGGCACTCAGACTTTTCTTTCTTTGAGCGTTACCGTTGTGAACACTGCCACCGCGTGAACTGAAACTCTTCTTTTTGGAATTGTTATCATAGTGGTGGATACTGCCACAACTTTTCTTTTTATGCGTGTTACCATAATGCACACTGTTGGTGTGTAGGGCTAGCGAGTCCTTCTTTTTGTTGCTGTTATCACGGTGAAGACCATTGATAATGGTTTGTATTCCGAGGGGAAACGAATCGTGTGTTTCTGTCATCCTGAAAATTAATAAATTATTTCACTTGATAAATTCACAAAAACAATTATGAATTTAATAATAAATTTTATTAATGATTCAAATCATTAAATACTTAGAAGAACCGTTATGCTTCGATGTACACTAAGAAATAGCTTCATACTCTTGTTTTCCTCGGATTCTGGGAACAGATACAAATTTTTAATCACAAGTATGAGAAACTCGTGACTATTTATGCGGTAACTGTTACAAAGAAGAAGGTTTGATGAAGACGACTTGTTATTTTTTTTCGGACTGTGACGGAAAACCCTTGTATTAAAATGATTCACATTGTTGATTCGAGCATGACTTTTTATTTCAGATACAAATTTTGGCATGTCTTTCGTAGAAAACATAAATGCCAAGAATATTTTCATATTTTTAGACAAATTCGAAAATATCCGAAAAAACACTACAAGATCACGTTTTAGTGTATTTCTACGTTGTATTTTTTTGTTGAGACTACTGAAATAATATGTCTCGTAACCTTAAAGAAACATAAATGCTTATTATGCTAAACATAAATGCTTTTTCGGCGAATAACTAATGATTATTTTAGCTGCTATATTGATTTTCATAACTATGCTTCTACCGTAATTTGCTTTAATTTTTTTGAAAATTATATTATAACAATTATGTAAATCAGGGGTGTCCAACTTACATGAGGCCGGGGGCCGCAATTAAAGACACCAGTCGAATGGCGGGCCGCGCAACTTAATCAAAATTATATATAGGACTCTTTTATGTTTGAATCATCATTAAATATTACTGTCCGATTTTTTCAAGTTGTAAAAAATAAACGTATTGAATTACAAATTAAAATTAGAAATAGATTTTTAAGCAACATACACGATTATTTTTGTATTTAAATAATTATTTCCTCGGATGCAAAATCTGAGAAATAAATGATTTTGCGCGTTGGTATGTTAAATTTCGCAGAAACGAGGAAATTAGGCTTTTTTCAACGAAAGAAAAGTATCTTAAAGCCATATGGATTTTTTACAAAAAATTGTCCGCAAAAAATGACAACTACTACATTTTAGTTCGTGGGCTTAAAAAAAGGCTTCGAGGGCCGCCAGTTGGTAACTACTGATGTAAATGATCAAATAATTATTATTCAAATAGCTTATTGTGGAGATACATTCACTGTTTTTGCTGTAATATTTACTAAATATAATAATTTTAACAATTTGAAATAAACTCTGTTATATATATATATATATATGAGAATATAAAACAACCGAGACAAAAGTATGAGGGAAGAATAACTAGAAATGTATTACAATCGATAAAAAGCTATTCATCTTTGTGATAGTGGCTCCATCTAGTGGATAGTGACTCCAAATATCTACCTCTTGAAGACAATACACATTTTAATCGTTTCTTGACTGCTGTAAATTTATTGTCAGTCAAGCCTTTGACCTATTTCCAACTAGTAAAATTTCAATTGAAACTCTGCTCTGGATGATGACAAGTTTCAAGACCGCTATAGAGTTATTACTAAAATGAGTTTCGCAATTAAAACAACACTAACAGATATCAATCGCATACTATTATTTTCTGGAAGGCGCAAATTTTTGTTTTCTGGATGTTAAGGCTTATTCTCTGACCGCTTCTGGCAAAATTTCTCTTTTAAGTTCGTTAATCAACCTATCCATAATACTTTAAATTTTAAGTGAAACCTTCCCGCAAGAACAAATTATAATTGCTTTTAAATCTTGCATGAAAAATTCATCACAACTTTTCAACATAAACAAACTAACAGATACATACTAAAACAGGGTGCGAAGCGTTTTTAAAAAGTTTTTAAAAATGGTTACTTTTAATTTGCGTTTTTTAAGAGCCCTTAAAGGTGCTTATTTTATTGGGAATTTGTAAAAAGTGCTTAATTTATCTTTCAAAATGAAATTTCTTCTTTGCCGTGTCGATTGTCATCATAAATTACATAAAAACAGCAGGGTTTTCACAATTTTTCCTGCAGAGCCACGATGGCTCAGGGGATAGAGCGTTAGCCTTGCAATGAGGCGAACCGGGTTCGAATACCAGCAATATCTGGTCGATGCGAATCTGCATCCGGCTTGCACCGACCACAGTGATGACGTAAAATATCCTCAGATGTAGACGGATCATGGGTAAGATTCCCTTTGCCGTCAGGCAAACCGTGGGAGGTTCTCGTAGTCTTCCTCTCCATGTAACGCAAATGCGGGTTAGTTTCATCGAAAAGTCCTCCACGAAGACAAAATTTCTCCCACTACTTGATACAGGAGTTTCTGGATTGGGTTCAAAGTTACAAGGCTACGGAGTTGAACATCAGTTGTCGTAAACCCGAAAATTGGGTCGGCTATTATGAACGGTTATGACGGTTATGAAATACGGTTATGAACGGTTATGAACGACGGTTATGAAATAAAATAAAATTTTACCTGAAATATTTATCAGAAGCTAGTTATTTTATCATGATTATGTAAAGTCTTTGAAAATGTTTTTGCACTTGGTTGATTTTATGTTTATAAATTAAAAACTTTAAAGAATAGAAGGGGATATTTTTTTTACTGCACAGATCCTAATTATGATTTTTTTTCTTTTTTTGGAAAGTGATTTAAAAAATTTTTGAGTGCTTAAAAGTTGCTCATTTTTTGTTGAAAAATTTTACTACGTACCCTGTAAAGGGAAGGAAATTATAAAATAAAATTTAAAAAATAATAGTAAAATTTACACTTTTTCAGTAGACTAAAAGGAAAAACATGATTTTATTTTTGTGAAGCATAAAACGAAAAAAGTCGGGTACATGAATTATTTAATAAGATTCCATCGCCACAGAAAATCTCCTCATGTCTTCCGAAAGTGATGCATCCTACGTTTGTCACTTTAGATGACACAAACATTAAATTTTCTTTCAGTCTACTTGAAAAATGTAGTTTATAAAAATTTTAATTTTATCCTATTTAATTTTTAAGGATTTCCTCACATGGACATATTTAAAAAAATTGAATGAACCTACTTGATATATATTGTTAGAAAATCTGACTCAGCAACTTTACTTGACTATGACGAGTTGCTTGACTCATTCTCTTCGTTAGTCCGAATTATAATAGAAAAATATGAAAGCTATTATTTTCTACCTTTTCCAACCGGTAGGTTCTAAAATTGTGATTTCACACTTAAAATGAGTTTCACAATTAAAATAAACACTATCAGACAAGTGAACATCGATCTCACACTATTCGACGCTATCTTTTCTAGAAGACACAAATTTCCGTTTTCTGGATACGGGTTTGTTCTCTGACCGCTTCTGACAGAATTTCTCTTTCAAGTTCGTTAATAAACCTATCTATAACACTTAAGTGGAACCTTTGACCCAGAAAATAATTGTTTTTAAAAATGTTGCAAGCAAAATTTACCACAACTTTTCAATATAAACAAACTAACAGATACCAAACTAAAATGAAGAAAATTATAAAATAAAATAAAAATAAATAAATAAAAATTTACACTTTTCCAGTAGGCTAAAAAGAAAAACATAATTTTATGCTTGTCAAAGACAAAAGTCGGGTATATGACTTGTCTAATAAGATTCCATCACCACCGAAAATTACGCGCATGTCTCCCAAAAGTGATGCATCCTACGTTTGTCGTTTTAGATGACACAAAAATAAATTTTTCTTCTTATTAGTCTACTTGACAAATGTAGTTTTTAAAAATTTTAATTTTATCCTATTTAATTTTTAAGAATTTCATTACATTTATTTAATTTAAAAAAAAAATTAAATGAACCTACTTGATATTTATTGTCAGAACATCTGAGTCAGCAACTTTACTTGACCAAGACGAGTGGTTTGACTCATTCCTTTCAATAGTTTCTTGTCAGAATTATAATCAAAAAATTCGAAAGTTATTATTCTCTACCTGTTCCAACCGGCTGGTTCTAAAATTATGATTTCCCGATATTCTTCTACTAATAATATTTCATTCGTGAGTGATTTGGTTTTTAAAACATTTATTCTTTCGAATAAATACAGCTGTAATGTTTTTTTTTTATTATTATAGATCTCTGAATTTCTATTTTCATGAATTATAAATTCAGCAGCTCGTAGGAAACGAGTGTCTCGTAGAAAAAGGAAACCTAATATAGGTTCTTATGGAAAGTGAGAATTGTTTATTATTTATGTCTCTATTATGTGACTAGTTTACATAGAGAGGAAAAAGCGAAGTACCACTTGCTTTCTTACAGTGGCATAATATTTTAATTTAGAGTAAAATGGAAATATTTTCTCTTTTTTTTCGAAAGTTAATTCTATACCTATTAAATTTCTAAGTATTCATTCATTCAGACGTTTATTTTAAAGATAAAAAAAGATCTTAGAGTATAAATGCCTTCTGAGAAGTAGTTTCTAAGAAGTTCTTTTTCTTTCATGCCTTTTTTATGTGTTATCCAAAATCAGTTTAGCGATAATTAAAGCTGACAACATTTTTATAAGGCATGGTTAACTTTACTTTTCATTTTTTTAAAAATTTATTTTATGTGTAGCATTTTTCTAAGGAGAATGTTTAATCCGTGGAAAAAACTTTTAATGGAAAATCAGTCATTTAGGGTCTAGCAAAAGTGGATGCAGGTAAACCATAAAATTTCAAATGTTAATTTTTTTTTTCCTTTTTCTTTTTTTTTCTTCTTCTTTTCAAAAAATTAAAGTGCAAACAAGTTATGGCAGAGTATTTAAGGATTACGGAGTGGGGAATTAATCCTACAGCAATTTGTTTGCAGTTTGATATTTTGATTGTTTTTTGCAATTAAAGCTTCATTGTTTACACTAGGTTAAACTAAAATCACTTTCTTCAAATTTTGATTTTTCACCAATTAAAACTTTATGGTTTACACTAGGTTAAACTGTTTTTCAAATTTTGATTTTTCAGCAATTAAAACTTAATGGTTTACCACACTAGGTTAAACTGAAATCAGTTTTTTTCAAATTTTGATTTTTCAGCAATTAAAACTTAATGGTTTACCACAGTAGGTTAAACTGAAATCAGTTTTTTTCAAATTTTGATTTTTCAGCAATTAAAACTTAATGGTTTACCACACTAAAAACTGAAATCAGTTTTTTTCAAATTTTGATTTTTCAGCAATTAAAACTTAATGGTTTACCACACTAAGTAAAACTGAAATCAGTTTTTTTCAAATTTTGAAATTGTAAAATATCAATAGAGGTGGAGGATAATAAAGTGGCTAAGGTCTCGTAGGTAGTTCTCTTATGTGGCTAGGTCAGTCTCGTCATGGAAAAATAAAACAAAACTTAAGAATTATTTTCAAGGACACAATGAAATTGAGCAAAATTTTAAAAAAGGTTCTTTATGTAACTTTATTACAAAAACTAAATGTTTCAAAATAACGGAAGTCAAGCGTCGGCTGTACATATTTTCTACGATGAAATCTTTGAAATATTTAGTACAAAATAAAATATGCTTAATATAAATAAAACAAAATATATAAAGGTTTAAGGTTTTGTAGGCACTGCATATTTGCTTGAGGCGACTGCCCGCATCTAGTGGAACATTATTTTCTAAAAATTAAATTTAAACTATGCGGTAAAATAATTTAATTATTTTCTTTAAAAAACTCCACTGGGCTCCATTTTGCAACAAAATGTCACAACTTTGATCATAAACCTCTATACTTTGGAACCTTCAGTAAAGTGCTGCTATCTATTGTTTTAAATAGCTTTTAAATTGACTTTTCTCAAAATAGATTCGGGTTTGACAAAGAGATGAAACCGAAAGAAACTTTCCCAATCTAAATTAGGATGTAACAATATGAAGCACTCAAAAAAAAATTATCTCGAGTAATACTCAGGGGTGACATTTTGAAACACTAGTGTTTTGCCCGAGATTATTTCGGGCAAGACAGTTAAAAGGTTGAAAAAACAGTTTATTTACTGACTTTAAAATCACAGAAAAGTGTATTAACATTACTAACTTAACTTTTTTAACTGCTAAATTTTCTAAATCACAGAGTTTGCGACGGTATGTTTTCGGATCATCCTCAGATGTATTTCCCAGAAATTTGCCAATACCCCATTGTGCAGCTCTAGCCCAACGTAATTAAAGTACCACTACTCACGAATTGATGCTGTACATGATTCATTTCAGACGATCTGAGGGAGTATTACCCTTGGAGACAATGATTGCGACCATGTAAACTAGTTCTACTTCAAAATAAATTTCAATGATTATACTAATCAACTGATTTATTCAATTAATTTTATTCGTTATGTCAGATAAGCTCAAGCATTAATGGAAATGATATGCAAGAACTACGTCACCGGATTAGTATTCCTATAAAGTTATTTGAAACCACGTGTTTATTTTATTCATGAATTCATTCTCATTTTATTCATTCTCTTTTGAAATGTGTTTCTATGAACCTGATTAACGTTAAATTTTAAAAAAAAATTGCGCTAAAGCGCAAAACTAAAGATAAAAACATACTGGTTGTGGTAAATTTTGCCTACAAAAATCTGCCCATTAGCAAGAACATCGTTTTCTGCACTAAATGTTTTTTCAGTATAGTTAATACGTGACGACTGTATTTTGACGAATTATTAAAACTTGTCTTGCTTAATATAATAGTTTAAAGCCATAAGGAAAGATAATAAATAATTATTAGAAAATGGAGATATATTTAAGTTTTTATAATTGTGTTAGTATATGCATTTCAGTTTTTGTACATTATGGATTAATACCGATGTTTGATTACTTTCCATTTTTTTTATTACTCACATTAAACTGGTATTCAGATATTATAAAAAAAGTTGGTCATGTTTGTTATTTATTTTTATAAAACCTTACTCATATTTTATTTGAAAAATAATCAATAGCAAGCTAGATATGTTTTTATTAACTTATTACTTTTTAAGTTATTGCTGCTATTTTTATATTGCTTAGTGACAATGTAGCAGCGTCGAAGAATATATCACTATTTGAAGGTCAAAAAATCCACGTTATATTCAAAACAGATCTTAAAAATGTGCTTAAATATATAAGAAAAACGAATTCATTTATCAATACAGAACCCTACATTGTCAAGATTTTGAAGAAAAAAAATAGTGAACATTAAAATGCTGAAATGAAAAGGAGATGTTATTTTGCTTTGAATTTTAAAATCTATCTCTGTGTTTGCGAATGTTGTAAAACAATAGAATACGAACGCATAGAATCCATATCAAATTATTCGTCCAATTTAGCGCTAACATAACTAAAACATTTTTACTTATTTACTTACTTACTTATCCTCTACGTGCCTTGGGCACTTAAGGTCTCCAGCATATCCCTCCAACGCCCCCTCCCCTGTCTTTAGCAATAGATCTTGCTTCCTCCCAGCCAGATATTCCACATTCTTTTAATTCGCCCAAAAACATGCGCTGGATGGTAAGTCTGGGTCTTCCTCTTGTTCTCTTATCATCAGGGGCCCATGTAAGCACAACAGATGAAATTTTTTCTTTGGGCATTCTAAGGATATGTCCGAGCCAGCTCCATCTTCGTTTTTTAATTTCATCTTCGATTGTTTTTATTTTAGCTTTCTTTAATAGATTTTGATTTGATACTTTGTAAGGCCAGAAAATTTTAAAAATAAATCTTAAACATTTGTTTTGAAAGGTTTCTAATTTTTGTTTTTTTTCTTATTTACTGCTGTTTTAATATCCAAAATATCAAAATACCAGCATGTGTCTTAAAACTATTAAAAAAATAAAAGTTTTTCAATACTAAAACTTTTTTTTGCGAATTGTTTAGTTTGCTGTTTATGCAAAATAATAATTTAAGTTTTAATTATCTTATTTTTAGCAAAATTGATGATTTGAATTTATTTAGAAAATGCTTTATTTTAATTAAGACTAATGAAAATATCCAAATAAACCTTTGAGCGGAAGTTTATACATTTTCTGTTAAATCTTTTCATTAGAAGTACATTAAGATGTGAAAAATTGGTTCAATTAAAGGCTTTTCTTATTTTTTATTGGATAATAATTCCAAAATAACTGCTATAAAAAGTTATGTAATACGGCTGATTTTCGTTTTTTTCTTGATTATCTCTATATTAAAAATTCGTAATCTCCACCACTATTTTGAAAATTCAATTTTTGTTTTAATCATACTTTTTACTATTTTTTCAATATTTATTTGCTGTGCAAAAATTATAAGGCTTATAAAATTGAAATTACAAATGTGTGCCGAAAAATAGAAAGGAATTTCGATTGAAGGAAGAAAAAAAATTTCTCTAAATAGCTCGAGAATTATTAATTTTTAAGCGTTTAGTAAAAAATGCCAAGCGGGTAGCTCCACAGACAGTAGAAATTTATTGGAATTATTGGATTTTTAAAATTATTCGAATTATTCGAATTCTGAAATTGGAATTATTTAAATTTATTAAAAATTATTGGAATTTTAAGTGCTTAAGTTTCGAATTTGCTTCATTGTTTTTTATTTTGGTTACAATTTGTTTTGTTGAGCACAAACTTAAATACTAAAAATGGCAATAGGCTGCAGAAAAATCTACAGTGAGTGCGAAAGAACAAAAAAAAATGTAAGGTTCATGGTTAAGTTAAAAAAATTATTAACTGTAGAACATGCAGTTAAAATTACCACGTGAGCCGAATTTTCGGTCCTTCCGAAATGTAACTATAGAGTTGAAATGCTAAAAGTTCTATTTTATTTCATAATTTAATGACAGCTGTTTTTGAAATTCCAATTTATTAGAAAGTTTATGCAATTGTCTTTTTCGTAATTTTTTTTCTCTCAATTTTTTGCTCTATTGAGGTTTTATCTATTATTGCAGAAAATTTTTTTTTTCTGACTCGAGATCTTTATAAATGAATAAATGTCAAAGGTAACAAAAAATGAAAAGTGAGAGTACATTTTGTTATTGAAATTTTCAAGAATAAAAAAAAAAACTAATGCAAAAGAGGCAAGAAGCCGCTATTTATTTAAACTATTACGAGTCTCGTTAACAAGTAAAATTGCTTTTTTTTAGTTTTTCTTCTTTTTGAGTCGCACAGTTTGAATCACTTAGGCAAAATCTCTTTTTCACGCGCTGGTGATTATTTTTTAAATCCAAGTAAATGTTCATTTCATTACGATTAACATTTTGAAAAAGACAAAAGTCCCGCCGTGGACTGATCGTTAAGACACTGTTACCAGCAGATCACCGAAGTCAAGCATCACTGGCTGCGGTCAGTGTGCGGGTGGGTGACCACTTGGATCAGCCTGCGTAGGGACCGAGGGTGTGCGGTATGGGTCCTCGTTAAACTGTTCTACCGTAAAGTGTTCGACTTCATGCGCAGGTCGTCGGGCTACCGAAGCGGGGGTGCCATCCCCTCCGCAGAGGATCAAAATTGTGATGGCATGTCTTCGGATCATCCTCCGGGATGTTTCCCAGACCGTCGCCAATAGCCCATTGTGCAGCTC